ATACATAGTTATATATAAAGATACACACCCATCTATACATAGTTATATATAAAGATACACACCCACCTATACATAGTTATATATAAAGATACACACCCATCTATACATAGTTAGGGCTAGAAGTGCAGCTCTCTGGTAAGCACTTGCTTAGTGTGCTGAATCTCCTGAATTCAGCTTCCAGCTCCACTACAACAACAAATACCCTGTCCATTTGAGGACTGGCAGTGACGGTCGGAGGGACAGACTTGTCGCACACGTACCAAGCCCTTCAGCTGAGGCTGGACTACCAAGTCTATCATGATTCTGCTCTAGTTTATCCTGCGGCTGTGGTAAACAACATAACCCCCAAAGCAGCTTGCGGGAGATAAGGTTTATTTGACTTACAGTTCACAACTGAAGGAAGTCGGGGAGAGAATTCAAGCAGGAGCTCCAGGCAGAAACATTCAAAGGCTCACGCTTAGGTTTGTTGTAACCACTCCCACCTGCCTGAGCTGGTGCCACCCACGGTAGTCTTGGCCCCCATACATGATTTAGCAGTAGAGGCATTTGCCCCACAGACAACCCTGACCCAGCATGAGCTAATGATTTCCTCAGTTAGGAGTCCCTTGTCAGGTGGCTCTCGGCTGTGTCACGTCGATAGTTAACAGTGGGCAGAAACAAAACTATCTGCTTGCTATAAAGGATTAAGAAGGATAATAAAAATAGTGACCAGGACTGGATTGCACAATAGGCAAAGTATTCAATATTAGCCCATGAAATTGACCAATAAAGTTAAAATAGTTTTCCTCAACAAATTGTTAGCGGCTGAGGAGATGACTCGCTCGGAGTTTAGGTCAGGCTTGCTTGGGCTTCAGTTCCTCGGATCCTTATGGTGACTCAGCCCCAGGGGAAGCCGACAAGTGTGTACATGATGCACATACGTGCAGGCAGCCGTTTTGTTTTTGAAGAGAAATGTCTGAGTTGTGAACACAGAGACATCTCGGAGTTCTTGTTCTCTTCTGTATGAGGTGCGAGCCTGCTGTTGTGCCGCCAGGGGCTCTCCGTTTGGTTCTTAGTCTGTCTCCCTGTGTAGTCTTTGCCACCCTGCACCCTCTTATAGGGCCAGTTTTCCTGGAAAAAGCCAGTGATTTACTTAGTTATGCTGCTGAGTTCTGGGAGTAAGGGCCTCTGCCACCTTACCCAGTGTAGGATAGAGGCTGGCACTGCCCGAGCCACCCTGTTCCGTCTTCTGAAGTATCAGCCAACCCCCTCAGGTTTTACTATAGAAAGAGAGAGGGAGTGTGTGTGTGTGTGTGTGTGTGTGTGTGTGTGTGTGTATTCCCAAGCACTTTCCTAGGTAAGCAAAGCTCTTTTCCTGTGAGGAGCTGATTTCCTGGAGAAAGGAACAAAAGGTGTATTTGACATTCTTACATTGACTAATACAGATTTTTGTCTTTGTTTTTTGTAGGGGAATTTTCAGGCTACTTATAAAGTTCCAACTGGATAACCAGGACAGCCCCTCCTACACAGGTATCTGATATTGGTGATATTGAATGTGACTTTCTGTCCCTATAGTCTCTAGAGTCCCTTGGGAGCCCTGTGTCTCTCCCAGCAGAGCAGCGGCTGCTCTGTGGTGGCTGTGTCTGTCCAGGCTTGCAGCCGACTTCGCCTCGTGCCAGATGCACTGCTCAGAAGATTGCTGGTGGGAATTGGAAGACAGGCCCACTCACACACACGCTCACACACACTCACACACAGACACACACACTCACACACACTCACACACACACGCACGCACAAAGATTAAGTACATCTTTTCTTAAAAATACTGATTATGCTGTCACGGTGGGCCTTACTTTTCATCTCAGCCCTCAGGAAACAGAGGCAGGAGGATCTCCATGAGTTCAAAGCTAATATACCAGCCTGATGTATGTGCTGAGTTCCAGGCTGGCCAGAGCTGCATAAGACCCTGTCTTAAAAATGTCAATAAAGCAAAGTATTGATTAACTTTAATCTTTTCGTCTCCCCAGGACTTTCTTTTCAGGACTTTTACCAGCAGTGTCGCGAGGCCTTCCTTGTTAACAGCGATCTCACTCTCCGGGCCCAGCTGACTGAGTTCAGGGATCACAAGCTTATAAGAACGAAGAAGGTAAGATGGCTGCCATGAGGGGTGGGGTGGGGCGCGGCGTTCACTGAGGACGCAGGCAGGAAGGAAAAACAGATAACTTGCTCTGCGGTGCCGTGATGGGTGGATGGATTGCCGTGAGAAAAGAGGAAGTGTGGAATGCAGGGCAGCGCTAAAGAGTCAATAAATTACTTCTGATGACTTTGTTATGTGTGTGTATGTTCTGTACGTATCTACACCATGTGTGCAGCCTGGTGTCTGTGGAAACTAGAAGCGGGCATTGGGTCCCCTGGAACCAGAGTTACAGGGGGCTGTGAACTGCCATATAGGTGCTAGGAATCCAACTAAGTCCTAGGGGAGAGCAGGCAGTGCTTTTACTGCTGGGCCATCTTCCCAACCCTTGAATGGATTCAAATCAAGTGAACGGTGGGGGTGGTGGGGGGTTGGAACATTCGCTGATCCCAGCCCTAGAGTGGAGGGGCAGGCGGATCTCTGTGAGCTGGGGCCAGCCTGGTCTACAGAGTGAGTTCCAGGCCAGCCACGGCTACAGTGAAGCCCTGTCTCAAAAACACAACAAAGTTCGGTAAGATGAACCATGTTGAAATGGGGCAGGTAGAACAGAGAGTCAGTACTGACCGGTTTGGAAAGGGCACGGTGTGTCCAGCTGTGGCTGACAGTGAACGTGGTCCAGCTGTAAATGTGCTGTGTGGTTCACGTATGAACTTCATACATGACAGTGTCGCAGGGTCAGACATGCCCGAAAGCACAGTGAAGAAAACAGTGACCTCTCCGCCCTCCAGACTTGGGTTAGAGTGCTTGACTGTACCTCAGGGTTTAGACACAGTCACATTCCCTTGACTGTATCTCGGGGTTTAGACACAGTCACGTTCCCTTTGCCTGCCTTGATTTTTCTGCTTAGGTATTTAAATACTTATTCAGATATTAGAATACTGCATAAAACATAAACTCAAACCAGGTGGTGGTGGAACACACCTTTAATCCCGGCACTCAGGAGGCAGAGGCAGGTGAATCTCTGTGTTCTGGACCAGACTGGCCTACGCAGTGTCTTTCTGAGCTTCCAGGATTGCACAGAGAAACCCTGTCTTGAAAAACCAAATATTAATAATTTAAAAGTCCAGGGTTTTGTTGTTACTTGTTGGTTTGTTTAATGTGTAATAGAAAGGTCCAGATAGCTCCCTTGCCATGGATTAACAAATGGAGTATTCTTTTATCTTGTAGGGAACTGATGGTGTAGAATATTTATTAATTCCTGTTGACAGCGGAACATTGGCTGATTTCCTGGAGAAGGAAGAGGAGGAGGCTTAGACTGCCTCCTTTAGGTGGAAGAGTCTTGTACCCCAGCTGCCGCTCTTAGTAAGAATGCTGGTTTACGTCTAGCACTAGATCATTCTGTCCAGCACACGAGATTGACTATTGAAGGCTATTGAAGGGACAGATCATCAACTTTGAACTTTGATTAGGCTGGCTGGATTACTGTCTCTAATAAGGTGCGGTGTCATCGAGTTGGGGGGAAATGTGCCTTTAATTTATTACCTCTCTGGAGACTTGTTGCTGGATGAACAGTGTGCTCAGGGATTATTTGGAACTGGATGTTTTGGATTATTTTATACTGAATGCTATCCCTAGTTTTCCAGGGCCGTTTAACGCTCCCTGAGCTGAATTCCTACAAGTGCACTTGTTTCAGATGGGAAAGCACAAGATGGGGTCATACAGAGCTCGTCAGGAGGGCGGGCTTCACCTGCTTCCTCTGAAGTGATAAAGGTATCCAGTGGGCTGAGATGACCTGCTACACATGCCTGCGACAGATGGGACTGTTAAACCCAGGTGGTGGGAGAAGTGAAAGGAACCGATAGGGCGTGTGCCAACCAACAAAGCATATTTAGTTCAATTAGTATCAACCATCACCTTGATTTTATGATACAAACGGGAAACCAGGCTTAAAAATAAAATCCCAATTTACACGTTAATAATTGTTCTCAGGACAGTAGAAGATAAAAACATTTCACTATTCTTGTACATTGACAGTTTTTATTTTCTTAAACAGCACGCAGGCACAGCTGGCACACGCCTGTAACCCACTGTCAGGACTCAGAGGCAGGCAGACTGCTTCTTTCCTTCCCACACAACAGTAGCAAGACGTGAGCTCACATTTGTGATCCCAACACTACCAGGGGAGGCAGGAGGAAGCACGAGTTGTAGGTCAGTCTGAGCCACAGCGATGCCTGCTTCAGAAAACAGCAGCCGCTAAATAAATACAGTGATCACATGAGACTTGCTGGTTTGCACTTTGCTTTCTGTGGTGTGTGTGTGCATGCATGCATGCGTGCGTGTGTGCTTCTGTGCAGAGGCCAGAGTAAGATGCTAAGTGTCTTTTACTTTCTGCCTTATTACCTTGAGACAAGGTCTCAGTGAACCAGAGGCTCCTTTTAGGCTAGATGGGCTGCCATGAGTCAGCTGTCTCTGCCTGCCAGTGCAGCTAGGGCACCGTAGACATGCCCAGAGTTCTGCATCGGAGCTGGGGTTCAAATTCAGCTCCTCATGTTCTTTTTTTTACTAGATGTTACTAATAATAAATAAAAGGCCAGAGTGTATAGTCCTTTTATAATGCTAGTTGTTTTGAAGAGTTTGAAAAGGATTCTGAGTGCATCTTACAGCTCTCGTGGGCACAATGGCATATTAACTATCTACTCATTTCCCTGAGCAGCTCTGTTCCTTCCTGTCTAGGAGGTGTAGGAACTTGAAGTTATAATTCCTGCCTGATTTGCTTCTGGGCTGGAGGTGTAATTCCCCAGGCGAACTCTTTTCTTGTTTTTTTTTTTTTGTTTTTTTTTTTTTTTGTTTTTAAAATTTTTAGGCTAGCATGCAGAGGTGTTGGATTCCTTATGGCATTTCCATATGTATGTGTGTATGTGTGTATGTATGTATATGTGTGTACGTGTGTATGTATATGTGTATACACACACATTTCCATATATGTATAAATCATTGTACTTGGTCCTCCTTGATTCTCTCCCTCTTCTGCTTTATTATCTCATGCATCCCATTACCCTCCTTGTCCTTAAAAATCTCTTCATCTTGTCTCTTCCCCTTCTGGTTTTATGACCTGCATGTGCACAAGCACGCACACACACATACACTCACGCACACACACACTCTAGGTTCTTCTAAGAGAGGGCATGAAGAATGTGTCTTTCTGCATCTGGCTTGTAGAACACCCGCAGGAAATGCTGTGTGACAATCACTACTTCTGAGTGTTGAACACCATTAATCAGCAACAAAACTACAAGTCACTTTGGAGATCAGTTAGAACACGTGACCTTCCATTCATAATGTGGAACACAGTTCAAGAATACAGCTGTACACGGGTGGTGGTGGCGCACGTCTTTAATCCCAGCACTCGGGAGGCAGAGGCAGGTGGATCTCTGTGAGTTCCAGGCCAGCCTGGTCTATAAGAGCTAGTTCCAGGACAGCTAGGATTGTTTAGACAGACAGACAGACAGAGAATGTGAGAATAGAGTTGTACAAGGGGAATTCTGAGTGCTTGTGAGAATACTTCAATAAAACAAGAATCAGGTTTCTTTTGCTTGTTTTTTTTTCTTTTTTTTTTCTTTTTTTGCAAAAACATAAAACTATTGCAGCTGGCTATTGTTATTGTTCATATGCCTCTATGAAAAAATGTTTTTGCCATGTGCCATTTCTCCATGTGATTGTACACTTTACTCAGGTGACTCTGCTTAACTCTCAGTCTAAATTGTCTGAGTCTCTAAATAAAGTTGCCTATTGCATGAGACTTTACTCTGCCTCATTTTTAGGCCCCGCTCTTCCAGGTTCATGCTGCCAGCTTGAGCAGTAATTGTACAAGGTGCTTAGTTTGATCCCTTCACCACCAAAAACCCCCAAATTATAGGAATAAGTACGAATATAGATAGTGATCACCAGTGGGTTTTTTAAATATTTTTTTAAAAAGATTTATGATGCCTAACTTAGCACATAGATTTACTTCATCACCCAAAATTGCCACTTAGGAAAAAAATCAAATCCAGTTTGTTTTTTTTTTTAATATTTATTTATTTATTATGTATACAATATTCTGTCTGTGTGTATACCTACAGGCCAGAAGAGGGCGCCAGATCTCATTACAGATGGTTGTGAGCCACCATGTGGTTGCTGGGCATTGAACTCAGGACCTCTGGAAGCGCAGTCAGTGCTCTTAACCTCTGAGCCATCTCTCCAGCCCCTCCACATCTGTTTTTAAATGGTGTTTAAGATTAATGAGAGGGCAGAGATTACTGAGACGGAGACCCCATGTACAGAGAGCTACTTCAGAGGTGATGGGTGCATACATGCGCATTAAAAGTCCAAGGCCAGCCTCAGCTAAGTAGTGCATTGGAGGCTATCCTGGGTTATAGACTCTGTCACATTAAACAACCAAACAAAAGCACCTAGTGATATCCAGGTTTTAGTTGCCTTTTCCAAGAGTTTATAGTGAGCATGTGTCTTTATTGCACTCTTTACCTTGTGAGCTATACCATCTGGAACCTTACTGATGAACTTGGACGACGTCTTTGGAGCCTGCTTCTGCAGGAGGACGACAGCACCGTTATTCTCCCTGCACATCCCTGTTTCCACCCAAATGGTGCACAGCTTGTGTCTCTGACTCCCTCTGCTCTCTAAACCACGCAAAGAGGGTCCCTGTCTGTCTCAGACAGGATGATATTAATCTTATTCTCCAAATGAGCACCCAGCATTTCCTGCAGATCGGAAAGGAAGCCTCGTTCAGTGTTGCTGTGTTCACAGAGAATGACATTTATTCCTTTGGAAGCCGCATCCAGGACATCATGGTGGGACATTTCACCTGGCGAAAGAGGAACGAGCAACTTCTTAACTATCAGACGTGGGATCTGGGCACCCTGAACCACCGCAGCAGAAAAGCCTGTGTCTGTATTCTGAATGAATGAACGCAATGCCCCACTGCTCCTGAGCACAGAAACCGCAGGCTCATGATGCAGTCAGATGTAGAATGCTTGCCTCTTGAGCGCTGCCCAGAACAGGTAAAGAAAAAGGCCAAACTACTTATCACTTTATGGTACTGAGTCTATGTTCAGGGGAAAGTATACAGGACTGGGACAGGAGAGAGACGGCACAGGGTGTGTGAGCGTGTGTGTGTGTGTGCACGTGGAGGTCAGAAACCAGCTTTCAGAGGTCGGTTCTCTCCCCTGTGGCATCCGGGATTGAAGGCCAATCACCCAGGTTTGAAAAGCAAGCGTGTAGCCAAACATGAAATTCCTCGTACTTCATCCTCTCGGCCTGAAGGTCGTATCATACGGTATTTAGAATGTGCCAGCATTTTTACTATAACGGGTCACATAGTCCAGGTGTGGAATTTCCCTCTTACGCTTGTGTTACTCATATTTTTTTTTTTTTGATTGATGCAAAATGCTGCCGGGAATGACAGTGTGTGT